CTGTTCTGCGGCTCGTCGGGCTCCGAGTCGGAGCTGGAGTCGGAGCCACCGTCGAAGGCGGAGATGGCGCTGCCCTTGGGGTTGGTGTAGAGGCTGTTGTCCGCGGGATAGCTGGCCTGGAGCTGGGCGCTGGCTCGGGCCTTCTCCAGCGCACGCACTGTGAGGGACGGCATCGTGTCACCCCCGGGCCCAGCCCTGCCTGCAGCCCAGCTCCTGCCAGGCCCCAGCTCCCACTGAATCCAGGATCCCGAACTCTTCCGGACTCCAGGTCCTGCCAGACCCAGCTCCCACTGAATTCTTGACCTTGCCAGACCCTGGTACTGCCACACCTCAGCTCTCACCAGATCCCAACTCCCACTGGATCTCAGCTCCCACCAGATACTGGATTCTGATGGATCGTATCTCCTGCCAGACCCCAGCTCCCACTGGATCTTGGACCCCAAAGCCTACTGGACCCCAGATCCTGGCTCCCAAACACTGTCAGACCCCAGCTCCTGAATCTCATGCCCTGCCAGACCCCATCTCCAGATGGATCTCAGCTACCACCTTGCTGCTCCAGTAGCGCATTCTGCCGCTTGAGGTCATCGATGTCCTGCTGGTGTGTGTGGTTTTTCCGGCGCATGTACTGGATGTACTCTGTGGCTTTGTCCAGGATTTGGGCCCGGGATGCCTGTTGCAATAGTGGGAAAAGCCAGAGGCAAGATAAAGACCTAGTTCAGGGGAAAAACTGGAATTTTACCTCCCTCATCCCACCCTGGCTCTGGTCCTTGCTGGGGACTCCAGTGGCACAAGAGAGCCTGAGGAACATCCCAGATCGAGATGCCTGAACCACGGGTGGGTTCTGTCTGTGCTCCCAGCACGCTCCATAAACTCACCTTCTCTCCTTGGAGCGAGGGCACGGAATCCCGCAGGCTGTGGAAGCTATCCTTGATGTGGTCCCTGCGCTTGCGCTCCAGCGCGTTGTGATGAGCCCGTTTATCGGCCTGGGAGGGGGGGACAGGGGTGGCACTGGGAGGAGGCCACCACCTGCACCCCCAAAATTCCTTCTGCAAGAGCTCTGCTGAGCCCCCAGGGCGGCTCCGTGGCTGTGACGCCTCCGGCTGGGCCGCCAGGGCGTGGGAAGGAGGCGGCTCCCAGTGCTTTCGGTTTCCCCAGCTTCCTGCTGCCGGGGCAGCTCTGGGTCCCGGGGAGAACGGGTAACTTTCCCCCTGGAACATGGTTACCTCCTCCCCTGCCCCCCTCAACCAACCAAACACAAGCCCCCCCGCCATGCCCTCTGTCAACCCCTTGTGTTGTTCCCCAAACATAGCCCCACCCCCCCAAGTGACGGCCCCACACGTAAC